AATGCTAGAGATTTAGAGTGATTGCTGGTTGATTTATGCAATGCGTTAAATTGGTAGAAATGCTCGAAACCTATACACATATTTTATTTTAATTTATAAGTTAGCGGCAATATTCTAAAAATATAAATCAACGCTAACAGGATTCGTGTTCTATTCTTGGTTAATGACAATAATTTTTATCTCTTGTAATGTACAAATCATTTAAATTGATAATAAAGTACATATAATTTCATATGGTGAAATATTGCTATTAGCTTGAAATCGAAAATTGTTCTTTTATGTTCTCCTTATCTCTCTCCTTTATTTTTAGAATCTATAATCTATAGTCAATATTTTCATATCCTTCATCTTAATTAATGTTCCTCTATTGACAACTAGCCAATATTAAACCAGCAACGATCGCATAGTTTGAGTTACACCAGAATTTTCTTTCGCTTTTATCTTATGGCATTTTTATTTACAAATGGATCATTATTTCAATATCGAATCAGGTGACAGATTTAGTAGCGCTAGTCACATGTACTATCACTACTATTCACCGACAGTACCATCATCATCTCTACACGACATAATATCTCTGCACAATCGCTGGAACAGTGGTTAATGCGATTTAGCGACCGAAGCTTCCGAAAAAATGCAATTAGCAAAAGAGAAGATTCACATTTGCCAATTTCGCGTAACTAATTCGCGTTGACACGGTTTCGCGGACTCCTGACTCATTGTTCTAGTTCAATTTTTCTTCTACAAGTATACACGGTGGATATACTATCACGACACTCATACGTACGAACAGCAGATACTGTTTTATACACAAACGAGCATCGTCAACGAAATCGTTGCCTCGCCGTAAACGTATCCTGTCTATTAAGCAACTTACACAGGGAATAATTTCTATTATGACGCGCGTGCCCCCCTAATCGAGCTGTACTGCCACAGTGAAAGTATAATAAAGGCAATGAAAGTTCATCGTGATAATTGATTACGAAACCAACTGCTTCTGGCTCGATGCGTTACGAATTTGCGTAATTGTCGCGTGAATTTTAGTTCTCAGCGTCGAATGGGAAGTTGTTTTCATTTTAATAAAATAGATATTATATTATTAAATAAATAGATATTATATTATTTTATTTACATCATTATCAATGACCTGGAGATACCGTATCTTTAAATTTATAAATTATTTAATTTATAAATCCGATGACCTAGAGACAATACGTCTTTGGAATATTATTTTAGTTAGAAGTTAAAGATTTGCAGACATTTACCTTGACCAACATATCCGATTCACCTATCGAATAACAGCAGAGTTATCCTTGTACGATTTCGAAAATTTTGACCTTTATTCCAAAATTCTCTCGCATATCGAGCAATGTTCGATACTGATATTTAAAAAAATTCAACTTAAATTATTATAGATGTAAAAATCTGTTAAATGTGTTATCTGATAAATGTAAAAATCTTTGAACGTTCAATGTTAAAATTATCATATATTTTGCGAGCAAATTAGTGTAAGATTTGTCTATAAGTCATAAGATTTATTTCCACTCGTTTTTCATTATATTTCAAGCTCAATTTCATCCAAGGAATGCTTATCCCCATCCTGTCCTTTCTTCATAAGATCTATTTTACTCGCACAGTCTGTTGAGCTATTAATCTACCTTGCAACTTCCATGTAAATCCAGACATCTGTATATTACTGCTCAAATCAAAAGCCTTGTTTTTGCACGTGTTAAACACATGTGCTCAAGCGGAGTTCGAAGTACCCCACTGTTATTTGAAAATCGAAAGCAATCGAAATTATTAATGACTTACTTGCAAACTTTCCAGACATTATTCTTGTCAGATATGATTACTCTAGCAATCACTATTCTACGAGAGAGTTCTTACTATATGAAACATTATTCGACAAAAATCATATATATAAGCATTACATTTAAATAATTTAATAATTTTTATTAATTAATAAGTTGCGAAGTTTGCAGCATTGATATACGTAGCATAATATATTACTATATTATTATTATTATTATTATTATTATTATATTATTATAAAGAAAAATCTCTAACAGTTAAATGTTGTCATTCATAACGTCGAAATTCTTTTATAATTGCACGAAAACATAGAAATCAGCTAGAGAATGAGTCCGTTAATCCCCTAAGTACAACGAGTCCAAGGCTACGTTGTCGCAATACAACTTTCAGTGGGCTCTGAGGTCTTCAGCTTAGTAGCTAATTATTGCTAGATATTTGGAGGCTCATTCTTTCGAATAATAATATACAATTTCACAAACGGCTGTACTCGAAACGTACTGTCTCTATTAAACGCGAGATCATTTTCAGAATTTTCTAATTATTGCAGATAAAACAGAAAGAGATTGAATTCGAACATGTAAAAATACAAAAGAAAAGAAAAAATTGTAAAATTGATAAACAATTCTCTATAACAAGCTTTCCATAATATTAAGCTTTAAGCTTTTTCTCCGCTGCCATACACATACACATAGAACCTTCAAATACTATACATAATTCATATTTATTGGCAACAGTAATATATTAATAAAAATTAAATTTCTATATGAATAGAATTTCCCTGTACTACGTAATAACGAAACGATTATTGAAACATCCAACCCTAATCGACTACCACGTTCTCACCTTCTTATATTGTTCCTGTGAATTAGCCCTTTTTGCGCGTATCTGAATTTCATTCTTGTTTCAACAAACAAAAGTCTTGCGATATTTCAAGAAAAATTTGAACGTAAAATTGAGCAGAAATTCACGAGTATCGGTAACAGTTATCTGGTACATTCTTCAAATTTAAGACATTTTTCATTAGCAGGACGACACGATGAGTGAGAAAAGCGAAAGTGAACCAAGAAACGTAGCGAGGCTACTGCTATTATTTTAAATACGACAAGGTTCGCGCGCATCGCAGATTAACGGTTTTAGTCAATGCTAACGGTGCATCAAAACTAACCTAATAGACGAGCTTTTTGCAATCGATTCCGCAGCTATTGATTCGCCATTCGAGCATCGGTCATCGCGAACAATTCGGATAGAATTTCGGAATGCAATCCGATGGTCCCGCGGAATGTAATCCAACGTTTAGCGTAGCGAGAGGTTAAATAACGCGTTAGGTAAGTCGATACGCAATGTTCGAACAGTAGACTCACGTGCAGCTCGTGTATACATGTGCACCTTTATTTCGACGGTAAGTTCACTTCCTGAATGGAGACCTACTTTACCAAGTGGCTGACAGATCGGTTCCATGAGCTCGAAACGTATGAAGAAATCGTTTGGTGTTCGTTGAATGTGATTTTTATATCATTATAGATATACGTGCGAGTCTAAATATAGGTTAATGTTATGTTATTGTATTTATAACGAGTAATGTCTATATTTGTAGATAGTTAATAACTAGAAAATTTTTAACTACAGCTACAACAAGGGATGTTGTAATTTTTTTAGAAGAAACTTGATGACTTTAGGTTGGTTTAAATAATTTTCTAGAGTTAAATTAATTGAAGGACATCAGGTTTATAAGAGTAGTTGGCACTTGATGCAATTGACGAATTAATACAAAAGTTGGCAGGAGAACAATGATATATTTGATTATAGAGAACTATATACTTTACTGATTCTAAAGTTTTGGTTGGCATATGTGTACGTAGTTGTATTTGATGCGTAAGCAATGTTAATAATTAACCTTGGCCTGTGTCGTAATTTGGTTAAACTAATAATTAAATTATACATGTATGTAAATATATAATAAAGTTTTTGTTTCGTTAAATAGAAATCATATCCTCATTAACATAAATTGTTCCATCAATAATACACCAAGGAAATCAATAAAAAAAACCTATAAAAGATTTCTAGAAAGATAGTTAAAATATGTATGCAAATGTGTATGGATCACAAACATAATTATATGAAAATGCTATCAGAACTTTAAAACATCATTCAACTATTCAGATTTACTTTACATAGGATATATGGAATGATATTATCATAAATTTTGTTTATCTTGATCATTTTCAAAACTATACGTCAGAATATCTAACAAAATAAAATATCGTTTTGTATACATAGTGAGTTTGAAAACATGCATTGTAAGCAGCACGTGTTTTTTCAACCATTGATTCTCACGACTGAGCATATTCAATATTACATATACAGAATATTTTTCTTCGTCCCCCTTCTTTCTTTCATTTCCTTATTTGAATAAGATACTCGTGCTCAATTGAATTTTCATGAAAACGACCGAACATTGGATACGTTTCAAGAGCCGACCTTACCCCGATGCTAAAAGCAACAAGGTGCACGAAAGATGGATCAGGACATGAGTATGAAATAAAAAGATACGAAACCCTCAAATTCTCATTCATGGCGCCGCAGAGGCGACTGGGTATCTGATGACCAAACTATTTATGTGACGGTAACAACGAACTCTCATAAAGCAAAGGAGCTTTAATTAAATTTCCCACCTACCTGTTAAGAAATAATCCGCCTCATAAAAAAAATATTTCCATGAATGATATTATTCTATAGCCTATATAATGATCAGGGCCATCTTGCACAATTCTACTAACATTACGAAACTAACGAAAGAAGCCAGAAGAAGTTCCAAATTACAACTATTAATAAGTATCCTTGTATGACATTAACATTGTTTGGTAATAAAGCTAACGAAATTTCACAAGTCAGATTGGCAAATTATAAATTCATTATTCCATTTGATGAAAAATGATCAGATTGTAAAAAAGATGTCTACAATAATTTCTAACCTGTCAATCTACTAATACATATTATATATTGTAATTGATAAATTATTATGCAAGAAGAGATCCTGGTCTCGACATTATCCGTCGATATTATCGCGCATCGACTTACTTCGATTACTTCGACCGAGCAGTCAAGTTTCCCCTTACAAAATATTGACGTCAAATCGATAAAACTGCAACACCTGCATAGACTTAAAAACGAGCAATTGATAGGCTCACCTGGATCTCTTAAGGATTCTCCATCTCTCTTTGTTCCCAGTTACTCTTCCAATCTTGCCGCAACTATGTAGATCCACCAACAGAACGTATCAGCATTTCTTTCGAGACTCGTCGTTTCTCACTACTAAATCACCACTGTGGTTCTTTCAGACACACTCCTCGTGCACTTTGAGTTATTCTATCTCGTACCAAGTGACAAACATCCGCTTAACCTTACTTTGATAATATATTACATCAACGATCAAACTTGATCACTCAATGTCACTCAGTCTCCAATTAAATTCAAACCAATTACCACTTACTTTCTTCAAATTCATACATGCAATTTGTTAGAAATATTAATAGTTTGTGCGCGGATAAGACGTTGTCATTGCGCAGAATCGTACCGGCAGTTTACGCGGTCTTTTATTTCCCGCGCGTTGAATCGATCGTCGTGAATGCGACCATCGATCGATGTTGCGAATCTTTGAGGACAATCGATCGATAAAAAACGAGATCACCAGTCTCTCTCTCTCTCTCTCTCTCTCTCTCGCTCTCTCTTTCTCTCTTTCTCTCTATCTATCTGTCTATCTATCTGTCTTTTTCGTGTTCTGATCCTGAACGATGTATTCTCACGTGTGGCGTGTCTTTCCGTTCGTTCTTCTTGTCACGTTGGGAATCGCCGCGTTCACCACCGACAACGATCGATCGATCGATCACGATCGACACCGTTCTCCGTTGACGATCCCGACGTACCACGATCTCACCGTGAGCAGCGAGCCTTCGCGACTGCGGCCGCTATTTCGTATCTACTCGCTGTGAGCGAACGATCACCGGTGAATGCGCGCGCGCGCCTGTGTATAGTAAGTGCCTTGCTAACTGGCCGGAATTCTGCCTTGCCAGCTGACCATAGCTATCCCTGCCATCTCTTAGAAGGGACTTCGTATAGCAGAGCATTGTATCGTGGATTTGTTAAAAAAGTAAATCGTCAATTTTAAGATAAGAATTAATTCTAAAAGTACAGCATTTATTAAGATGAGGATGTTATACTTGCTGCATAAAATGACACATATTTCTTAACTAGTCATAATAGAAAATACGACCATTTTTGAATATAGAAATTATTTGTACAGCGTTCAAATATATAAAGTTTGATATCATTTGATAGTACATAATATTCTTTCAAATGACTAAAAAAGATTTAATACCATGAAAATGAAAGAGCTGATAAAAAAAATATTTCGTTGGAAAATGAGGATATGTGTCAATTCAACGGTATTAGTATGGAATGCTGAAAGAAAGAAATTCTTATCTGTTAAGTGATTGAGCAATTGGTAATTTCTTACTTTAAGCTTTCTATCTGATAACGACTTGCTGAAAGATTTACTTTTCTTCATTTTCATAATTTTCTTTCTCCGTAGTATTATTAATACTATATAGTATTAGATTAAATCTAATATCACTCACAATATCTTTATCGTCTTTCACGTCGACATAGAATCCTTGCTTTTAAGCGTTGCATGTCTTAAGCCTTGTATCAATTAACGAAATTCGTTTCCAACTTGCGGTCAGTTAACAAGGCACTACTGCATACAACATCCTGCATACATAAAACCATAATAAATGATCGTTCACGCACACATTGATCACTAAGTGGACTAGTTGGGATAACGTGGAGGGAAGGAATGAAGGTTCCAGTCTCGCGATGGGTGGTAAACGACAGATAAGATGCATCCTCGTCTTTTTTCCTTTTTTCGATTCTTGTCTGAATAATACGGATCCTTAGGTGGCACAGAATCGTACGTGTCCTTAGTGGCTTCTATTTTGTGTCGCTTGGACGCTGCACCGCAGGGAAGAACGAGTTTTATAGCAGGTGGAAAATCTGTGTCCATCGTCGATTTATGTCGAAGATGAGGATGAAAATAAGAGGGACAAGGCGCGTTATTTATGGCCGTCTGGTCGGAAAAACATACGAGGAAAACGGACTGATTACATAAAACCAGAAAAGAGGGATACATAAACGTCATTATGGGCATAAATATGCAACTTGTAGATGCTTCAGGATATTATGCGACTGAGTGTAACGAATAAACGCGATTGAGTTTGTGTGTTTATGACACGTTTCCTTTTACAGTCAGAGATACACGCTAGATAGTGGATAATGATGGAATTTAATCCATATTGATATTCATGTTTATATTCAAGGAAAAGGAGATTTTAATTAGAGGATCGGATAAGCGAGATTCAAGGATAACGTGTTTTATATTTTACTGATGGCCAATTCATTTATGATAATTGATCGATTTTCAAGATTAAAATATATGTAATGTTTGTGACGTTAAACGGGAGATGTATGACTAAGATTCGAGTATGTTAAGATCGTTTCCTATTACGCATTCAAGGTGTCTGTATCGACAAAAGGATAATATCGAAGGTAAGTATCGCGTAAGACAATAAAAGCTCGAATACGTTTCGTTATATTTTATATAAAAGCTTTTACGGTATATAAACGAAATGCCAGATTTTCATCTGATATAAAATCGAAATAATTTTCTATTATCTCACAATAATATATCCAGAAAGTATGTATTATTCCAAAAAAATTGTACAAAATTTCAATGAAGATAATTTATTAACTTTTATAAGTCGATAGATTGTTTATATTTATCTTCAGAAGAAAACAACGCAGCTTGCGTTTCGCTTATGTTACACATCGATTGAATATGAAAACTAAATACAGATAGAAGAAAAATGTATTTGCAAAGCATTTTGAGCCGATAACGCATTGAAAGAGTGTTACCGTAGCAATCGAGGTGACACAAAAACGATGTAAATATGCACACGACAAAACAGGGAATAAGAAATGTGGTAATCGTTTCACTTTTGAAACTTCATCGAGTCTGTTGCAAGACAACGTTGGTAAACGATCTCGTATTTCATAACCAGCCGATCTGATTTTCCCCATTATGCGTAAGCTTCTTTCTTACGATAGCTCCTCTTCCTGTCGTTTCTTTGATAACAATGAAGCCTAATTCGCGGCACCTTCGGCCCTTATTTCCGGTCTCACGTTCATTCTAAATGGAATCAACGATCTTTTCATCTAGTCACCTCCTCGCTAGTTTGCTACTCGTTTAGACAATTGACTTGAGAAAGGATACTACAGCTCGTTTTGACGTCTAGCGATTATTTTCTAGTAAGTTTAATAATTGACTCCGATTTTTATACGAGATATATAGGAAATATTAAGTTCACAGAGAGTTCATCGATATTATTAATAGAAATTAGTTTATACGTTAATTTTCCTAACGCTCGAATCGCAAGTTACCTTGTTTATTCAATCCTTCCTATCAAAGGTTAATTTTTCCGAGAAAATTTGTCGTTCCAACATTTCGTGGTGAATTACATAAGCGCGCAAATAATCGGTGAAAGGGATTCCTATTCTGTTGACAACAGAAGTCTCGTCGAGACAGTTAATTATGTCAATCTTTCTGATTGTGAAAGTATCTACGTCTATGTAATCAGGAAGATCTCAATGCGCGAGAAATCCATTCTGACAACTGATATATTCCAAATATTCGGGAATTTCAATACTCAGATAAAGACTGTAATCTTTATGCAAGTGCCTTAAAAATTGCTACGGCGAAATATCGTATTAACATTTTACGGTAAACAAAACCTACTTACCGATGCAGAAATTCAAGACCATATCGAAATTTTAGTTATAATTGTATCTCATTACAGTGCTAATAAAATTTCAAATATTTTATATAGTACACAACGCACGTTCAGAGTTTCTACAATTATCCAAACCTCTTTCGTGAGTCATTGTTCGTACACTATACAATTCGACCTTAAAACCATTTCTCGAGAACTTCATCGAAATTCCTCCACCTGCAAGGCAGTCCCGTGGAGCGTATTTTTATTTGTATGCGGCATTGTGATGCGAGGAAAGTTCAATTTATTGGCCAAAAATAGCTGACACACTCGGGTTCCTTACACGAGCCACAATGCCCGATACACGTATCTAATTAAGATGCGCATAGCAGTGAGATACGCCCACGCTCGAGGCCTATCTCGCCACTATAAACGCCCTATGTATTCCGAGCATCCAACGATCGCGACCTTGAAGAATACTAACGACCCATCCAACAACACGTACACCAGCTGCAATTCTTCCGGCAGTTGGCTGTTGTGTCGGCGTCATCGTTCCTTACAATTTCTACGATATAATCGGTTTATAAAGCGAACAAGCGAAAAGCCGACACGTTTCTGTAAATATCATCTGATTTCGCAATGGCCAGCCAACATTTCGAGCGTGAAAGTTCTGATACCGCGACCAGCCGGAAAAGAAATGGCTATGGATATCGTGCGAATTAACTGGGTGGTTCGGTGCAAAGGAACACGTTTAATCGAGTTGAATAACGTTGAATAACGACGTTACGTGATCCTCAGACTGTTTTTCGTTTCCCTTTTTCCCACTGTGTCTTTGGAGCTTGGTGCAGCATCTTATGCTTTTGTGGGATACTTCGCGTTTCAAGATATACGAGACTTTGCGTTGAATTTCTTGTAATTTATGACGTTTACGAAGGATATACAACGATACCAATCTATCGTCGAGAATAGATCGGGTATTAATTAATTGTAATTTGCTACAGTTCGTGTTTAATTCAATTTTGAACAACTTTTATCGCGTACAATTAGAAATTGAGAACAACGAGCAAGCGAAATTTTCTCTTGTAATTTGTCCGGAAATATTAACTTATTAAAGATCGTGGTATTTTCAATGAACCATTCTTATTCAATATGAGTGTAATCCATAATTCATTTTATAAGATCATTATTAAAATATCATTTGAAACAAGGTTACTTGTTAGCATAATCTATAAAGTTGCATATAATAATGTTCTCAAGATATAGCGTTCGTTTGAAATCAAAGGATTATATAAAAGTCTATTACAAAGGTCAATATCTATTATCCAGTCAATCACTATATAATCACTATATAGAGTTTCGATTAAATACTTCAATTAATTCTTTTTCCTGTGCGATTCAGTGTCAAGAAATTGTCGGTTTATTTAAATTTTTGATAATTTCGAAAGATATACGATCAAGCCAAGTACATGTGCATGTATATCGAAGAACGTGCTAAACACACGAAACATTGCATCTTACTCTTCTTCCGCGATTTCATCACGTACCTATGCGAAAGCTTGTAATACCGTGTCATCAATTACTATCGAAGAAAAATTATCGAACGAAAAACGGCCATTAAACTGAAATTATATCTCCTATGAACATCAAATATTTCATCTTGTCTTTCACTCGTATATGATAGTAATCAGTAATAACCGCGAAGACGTTACTTGAAAAGCTGTATTACCAGATTAACAGCATACCTAACAGCAGTCACAAAAAGGAACACTGCTTAGCAAGAGACCTGCACGCTATTAGAGATCCAGCATGGAATCTCACGTCGAAGTAAAATATTTCATATTGTTCCTCTTCTTCGTCTTTATTACATTAACGATGTGTTCTAATATTTACGAAGAAACGGATCGTTTATGGAAGGCACGTTAATTTTATCTTGTGAAATATTTCTTATTCGTCTGCGGTTCCGTCGTTATTGGATTAGTTTGGAGAAGAAAAAATTATGCAGCAAAAAATTTGAGGATTAAGGACTTAACAAAGAAATATCTCAGGTTGCTCCTTTTCCTTCGTTTCATTATTACCGAATTAAAAATTCGCTTAAGATCCGCAAGAAAGTATTTGCTGTTTCGTAGAATAGTATGGAAGAACAGATTATTCAATAACAAAGA